TTTTTTTTTTTTTTTTCTTTTTTTTTTTTTTTCCTATGCAGCCAGGTTGCAAATGATCCAAAGGCCAGTACTGGTCCCCAGCCTGGTGGATGGGGATGTACAGTGTGTAATCCAATAACTCAGAGTCTTACAAGAAGCACACTTCACTTTATAACCATTTGTTCCATGAACAAAAACAACCTGGAATTGGGATTGGGAATAAGTTCAGTGTTGGCAAGAGCAGCCAAACATACTCTGAGAGAAAATATTGTTTTTCTTCCTGAACAAGGTGAAAGGAGTTCTCTGCATGCGAAGCAGGTTCATCTGCTACAAGATAATAATGACAGGATGATAATGACTGCTGCGCTGGAGGGGTATTACTTACTCTGAATAATAATGATTTGTTATGATGCTCTGCTGATGATGATGGTGGTTGTGTTTTCTGACGGTGTTGGCGATGCGAAAGTTTGACTGCAGTGCTGCTCTAATCATATCGTGGCTACAACAAGCCAATCTGTCATTTTTTTTTTATAATTTAGGCTGATCTGACATGGACAATAACCAGTTTTAAGTTATCTACAGTGTTAAAAAGTCCAGTTGATATATTTTATTTATGTATTTATTTATTTATGTAAGGTTTATATTCCTTAAATCAAGATAAAAGATGCAGCTTTTTTGTTTGTTTTCTCCCTCCTGGTCTGAAAATGTTGGTCTGAACTGTTATTCAGTTACCAATTGGCGAAATTCTCTAAACTATGCTAGTTTTTTTTAAAAAGGACATTGGTTTGTTGTTTATTTTATCCATCAGAAAACCCAGTAATTTGTGTCTTGTCAACCAGAGGTGTGGAACTTCTCTTTTTTTTGGTAACTCTGTTTTGAAACTAGTTGATTGCGATATGTTACAATGGTTAGCACATTAGCACGTTAGCATGTGACTGCAGACGGCAGGCTCTCAACGGAGGCTTGTTCGGCCACTTGTGTTTCCGGCTTTTTTCTTTGTATTTTTATTAATGGTGCTTGAAACACCCCTTATTTTTAAGGTACACACAAACATTTAGCCAAACATAATGGTCTCTTAAAGGGAACACCTCAGCTCCCAGTAAGCATCAAAACAAGTTGCTCTATGAAGTTTATATTAAAGATTTATTCTGTTGTCTGCAACAGTGGCTTCCTTTTTGCTGCTCTCCCATAAACAGACTGGTGAAGAACTCAGGCAACAGTTGTTGTACGCTCAGTGTCTCCCATTTCACATGAAGAAGCTTGGAACTCCTTCAGAGTGCTCACAAGTGTCTTGGTGGGCTCTCCCACTGTGATTCTTCTTGCACAGTCACTCAGTTTGTGAGGATGTCTCAGCAGGGGGAAGTAGACAGGGTCCAGAAAGATGGAGATGTGGTCGGAGAAGCTGAGGTGGGTGCGGGGTACGGCTTTGTATGCATCTCGTATGTTGGTGTAAACGTGTGTTATTTCCCCATGTTGGAATGTCCACATGCTGATAAAATCTTGGCAGAGTGTCTTTCAGGTTTACGTTATTAAAATCACTAGCCACCACGTAAAAAGACTCCGGATGCTTGTTTTGAAGTGAGCTGATGTTTTCATGGAGCTCCTACAGAGCGTCTTTAGCATTAGCATCTGGGGCTATATAGACAACAATGTTAAACACCTCCTTAAACTCCCGAAGTAAATAATGTGGTCGACATTTCACTGTCAGTTGTTCTAAAGCCTCGGAGCAGGAACTGCTCATCAGATCACAGTTTGTGGACCACCCTTTGTTCACGTAGATGCAAACACCGCCATGTCCCGTGTCTTTCCCAATAGCTCGCTGCTGCGTTCCACACGAAAAAATAATCAGTCATCCAGCTGGAACACATATTGTTATTAAGCCATGTTTCCATCAAAGTACAGCACATTTCTTAACATCCTCTGAGGTACTCACTCGCAATCACAGCAGATCAAACTTGTTTTCAAAAGAGTGAACGTTGGACAGGAAGAGGGACGGGATCGGGAGTTTATTAGCATTAGCTTTCAGTCTTGCTAACACACTAGCTTGACTCCCTCTTATCTTTCCTCAGCCACATCGCCTCCTCTTCCCATTAGAGCGCTGCTGTCTCCATAGTGATGTTCGTAGAAGCTGCAGTCTGTCGAGCGTAGTTTTTAGATCATTGCTGATTGCTGCTGTATTCAGAGTCAAACCCACTCTTAAGCTCATAAGTTTGGTTCGGCTATAATTCACATGGTTAAAGTGGGCGGAGTTGGACTTGGAGCCGATTCCAAAACTAACAAAACTGGGTTTTCACCAGGGCCCTGTGAAGCTGCAGCCCAGCTGAGCGCAGCCATCTTGGCTTCATTATATACACTGTTCCTACATCTTATTTGGTGTTCCATGTATACTTTGCCTGCCTGCATCTTACACCCTGCTATTATGTGTTGGACTGTCTCGGGGAACTTTTTACAGCCTGCATCTTGGTTCCTATTTGGTTTGGTAGATCCCAGCATCTATTGCTCTTGTGCTGCCATAATTAGTGCCTTTGTCGTTCTTCAGTCTATTTTCAGTCCATATATGATTCCGTGTGTGTGGTTGTGTGTGTGTGTGTTGCTCTTTCTCAAAATATTTTAAATATACAGATAAATAATGCTGCATTAAAGAAAAAAAGGGTATTTTGTCTTTATTTTTTCAACTGTTATATCCATCTATCCATCCATTATCTTTACCTGCTTTGTCCTTTTTGGGTCATGGGAGTCACTGGTGCCCATGTCCAGCAGTCACAACATGAAAGTTGGGGGACACCCTGGACAGGTCTCCAGTCCATCACAGGGACACATAGAGACAAACAAGACAAACAATCTTTCACTCTCTCACTCACACCTAGGGACAATTTAGAGTTACCAAACAGACTAACATGCATGTTTTTGGTCTGTGGGAGGAAACTGGAGTATCCGGAAAAAACCCACGCATGCACGAAGAGAACATGCAAACTCCACCCAGAAAGGCCCCCGGCCTGTATTTGATCCGGCGACATTCTCACAAGAGCTCTACCAAGCCAACATGTTGTCAGCTGTTAAATCATAAAATGTTTCTTTCCATACTTTAAGTGGTCTCCACATTCATGAGCCATCACAGAATGGAAGAGAATGAACCTGAAACTTGCTGCTAGACTGCTGCTCCCTGCTATTATACTTTTATTCATCATCTCGGTGCTCGTATGAGTGAGAGTCAGGCAGGAGAGTTGCTTTGTGCAGCTGCTCAGCATCAATGCCGAGGGTTAAATTTCTCACTGAAGGTCTTTATAAATTTTGTTTATGATGGAAGCAAGACCATGTTCATTCATTCTAGGTACATTACAATAAAACCACTTGTATTTACCTCCTCAGTAGATACATATTTTGCTTTTGCTATATTTCCAAACTGTATTTTTCTGAATTGTTTGCAGGACATTGTGACAGCAGATTTAAAAAAAGTATTTATATTGTGACGGTGATGCAACATACTGTATTTCTCATTTGTTACCATTTATGTTGAAAATTTAATTAACACAACTTTTTAATTTTTTTTCTCTTTTTTTTAAACAGAGCTGTCTCGTTGTGCAAAGAAGAAACCCACTGACATATTCATCACCGACTGGTGAGTCACTGTGTGTTCTCTATTTTCTGCAGTGATTGTTTGTGGTGGTCCGCAGCTGCTTGTTAGGTTGTATTTATAAAATGCATCTTAAAATTTTGTTTGATGCCTAATGTTGTTTACAGTGTATTTGCCCTTTGGGTACATGTTTCCAAAGTCACACAATCATCACCTCACATCTTCAACACTAAATCAACTGGGAAAAAAGTTGAATGCATTAAAAGGCCAAGCTAATCGATCTTGCTTGTGCTTATCAGTGACTGTCAGGCTGACGAGCCAATCTCAGAACTGCACAGTAGGCTGGAAACTGGAGCGAGACAAATGTGTACAAACATTCAGTAGGTCAGGCAAGGACCTCAATGACAAACCCATCACTAAGTGTCTCTTTCCAAAACACTGGTTGGGATGGAATGACATGAAAGGCCACAGTCAAGGAGACAGAGACAGGTTCCAGGAGCTAATTTTAAAATTACAGATTGTAATTATTAACAGAAGGAAAAGTCACTCAAACCTGAAGCAAACACATAATTCACAACTTTACAAAGACAATAATACCTTCTGATTTTAGTTTTACTCAGATACCTTTACTTTGATGCAACCTGACATTAGAGTCAGGTCAGCTGTGTCTTTATTT